AGACTTGATTTTAGCAAACTTTTCGACGAATTCGTTATGACCGATAAAGGAGCTCAGTCAGCTGTGAGTGGTCTTGTTATGTTAACACAGGTATTTTAAACTGAAGTGTGCGTGCCATGCGGTATCAAAATGGTGCTTTGCTTCTCCAAGTTGTCCAATAAGTCTTCGAGCTGATTACATACTCTTTTATACGAGATTAGTAACCATAGCACGATGTCACGATTACAAATGATGTATTGCAAACTCTGACCAGGCTTAATCTAAACCAGACGTCATAGACACCCAACCGAAAATAATTGACTTTCTAGTTCTTTCTAGTACAAATCGTGCAGGATTCCGTGTACGATTTACGAAGTTCTTCACCTCTTTTAAAATTGATAGAAATCGCTAAGTCGTTATGATAAAAGAACTCAAAAAGTCCGTGTACCACTACTGGGCGGAACTCTGACTTCGTAAAGCAAGCTCTGACAGCATTGGAGGTGAATTTAAGGTGTTCCGTATTGGATCTGGCCCTTAAATCACCGTTGTCGCCTGCGAGGATGATCACGGAGCTTCCAGGAAGGCCGAACCTTCGGAGGATACTAAGAACTGGAAGATGGAAGAAAGAATAGAAATATGAGGGGACTGCAACTCTGGTGTTCCTCCCTTCGGCAGCCCTTAACAGTATAGAGGTCTGGACTACCGGAGATTTGAAGCTAGCCCTTTTCCCTCATCGCGCTTCTACTCCATGCGTTGTCCTGCACTGAAATCAACGGACCAAGCCCGCTCTAGCAAAGGCGTCTCTGTTTTCTACTCTCATAAAATAGGCGATTTTACACCACGTCTTAAAGAGGATAACGTCATTGCCTTACTTAGCCAATGATTAAGTCTCATAGCAGCTTATTTTCGTCCGGCTGATTCGGAATGAATATACGTACTAACGAAGACACTTGCCAATGGATTTGAAATGCTGTCTTTTCATCTCGCCTGTCCTTTGATCATTACTGGCGACTTCACCGCCCGCCTGGACCAGTAGAACTTGAGCCGGCTTGTAGCCCCTAAACATACGCTCACGGAGTTTCATTGCTGGGTAGACAATCTCACCTCAACATTTTCATTGCGTAAATTTTCCTTATAATACACACAAATCTAAAATATACTATGATACATTTATATGATGACAAGATCGTAGTAGTATCAGAGAAGTGACAATACTGTAGTAGTACGATACTGCGTTTCATACTACTAATGTCACCATTGCAGCTATTCAATCCTACCATTTGTGTAAAGCATTGGAGATCTTATATATTATTCAAGCATAATAGTCAACCTCCTTTAATAAAAAAAATGAATCATTTGCAATGGTTCTCTGTTTACTCTTGAGTATTTCATGCCTTTACCTGAGACCCATGGAATTATTTTTTTGTAGAGTTGCTTATGTGAGAATATAATGCAAGTGACGTTTCCGACGTAGCGTTAAATACTGAACTCCTGTGCTTACAGTGACTTGATCCCAATACTAATAATCATGCTATTGAAAATAAATTTTAACCTTTTTTTTATACAGAACAATCCTATCAACTGAAGACTGCTTAACTAACGATCGGATATTGAAATATGCATGACCCTGTTTTAATAGTGACGAATATGAGCAACATTGAGAATGTTCTCATCAAGGCGGTATGGCAATTTAGATAGATTTAAGATCTGACTTCTCGTGCTGTGTACTAGCTAAAAGGTCACTCTACCGCTTCCATTAACCGAAAATATTATGCGGTATTTTTAATTTCGACTTTAACTTAAATTTTCTCGGTTCGGACGAAGGATCTTTGAAAGTAAAAAGTTATTTGATTACCGAAAGGTTTATTTTCTAACTGATCTTGTTACATGTCCTGCCTTTAAAATTCTGTTTTGATTATATTAGGCTTGAAAATTTGATTGTCTGATTAAAGCCACACCTTGTAGTACACACGCTCTGAAATGGGAGTCCCCACCCATCCATCGACATGCAATGAAGGAAGCTACGAATGTCCCCTATCTATCCAAGCTTAAGACTGCTGGCAGCTGCTCCTCTACTATTACCAAGATCTTTGTGAATGCTCCAATAGAACAAAAGTGACAAACGTGTTTCCTTCCTTTCTTTTTAGTGGCGGCAATGAACCCAAAACTCCTACTGATGTTGTAAGGTCCTTGTTACTCTTGCCGTCAGTCAAAGTTAACTGTCACCTAACTCTCATCTCATATTGTGTTTTGCCAAAAAAATGTTAAAACTAGGTGTATTTTTTGCTGTTTCGTTTTTTCTATTCGACATCACTGCTGCTCAACTGCTGAAGCAGTGTTCGAAGCTCTTAAGGCATACCATATAGGTTCTCTTTTATTCCTCCAACTACGGTAATTAAACTTAGCATTCTCTAATAAGCTCTGTCGATTGAATTTGTCTTTGAACTTTCCGTTGCTACTTGCACTATTTCTTCTAAGTTCGTATCTTCTCATGCTATATTTATTTATTCATACATGGCACTAACATGGCTTGCGGTAACCCTCTTCCTATCTAAGGTTTTCCAGGAGTGTATTCTTTTTAATTATTATCCTATTCAGAGGCTTTTTAGATCATCCCTCCACATGTACGGTTTATGTTTACGTTGCTTAAGAGATCAACTTATCATGGTTCATGGTGGAGTATATCAAGTGTTTAATGGTGGGTGACATTTAACAATCGGCGTCTTTTGCGGTGTTACTAAAGTTTTTGATGATCTTAAGGACCATTTACTTAGTAATATGACTGAGTCAAAAAGATATGGATTATTAGAAACTTGGTTTTTATCACCTAGAGGCCTATTCGTGATTGGACCTATGACATCATATTCCTCTGCTGGTCCGCTTAAGAACGAAATCAAGCGCTTAACGATAATGTCAATGGTGCAGAAGGCTTTTGGTGATTAAGTCGAGTGTATAAATTGTGCTGATGGTTTTAGGACGGATGAGAAGAATGCTTTTAGCTCCATTTTGTTCTGGGTAAGCTATCATAGAAAGTAAGGACAAAAACGGGACTGCCGATGCGTACTTAATGAACTCGTATAAAAATTAGATACGTCACACAAGTCATGTTAGACCGCTTCGGAAAATCGTCTAGAGGTGAGAAAGCTTGCAGCGAAGATTAAGCCAGAGAACCTGATTTTCAGCCTAATATAGACCGATCAGAAACTCCTGTAGAAAAATGTGGATATATCTAAAAAGAAGTTGGATTTACTTCAATGCATTATTACGCAAGACGAGATCTGGGTATTGGGTATGGTAAGGAGCAGAAGCGTCTTACGAACGTCTGAGCCAAAGAAACTGAGCAACTTGACGCGTAAACGCCGAGTGATTGTACGGTGACGCAAAAAAAAACGTTTAATGTTGTTTCCAAGAGGCTTGAGTTCTGGGAGGATAAGTCGCAAATTCTTTGCCCTGATAATACACTCACTATATGCGTTGGGATAAGTTCGCTGTTTGTGTTGCCTCAATTTTATACTCACCAAATCATGCTTCTGTGACTTTTCCTCTTTCCAATGCTCAAGAAACACCTGAAAAGAAAAAGCTTTGCGACGAAATCTAATAAAAACGACGATTTCCAGACTAATAACATGTATCCCGTTATTATTATTCGACCATTCGCGGACGACATAAGTTTTTTTTCATAAGGTAAATAAACGTTTTGTTACTCCAGATCTTAAGAAACCAAATCTTCTTCTAGCATTAACGGTTTGAGTCGGTACAGGGCTATTAAGGATTCCTCAGTTTATGTTGTTGCTTAGCTATTCTTGCTCTATCGACATTTAGAGGGGCGTCTATTCAAAATTTGGCGTGTTCTGACGTAACTCTATGTACTTTTTTTTTCATTTTCGTTCTGATATGCAAAATACATTAGAATTCAAGTTGAAAATCTGTAGTTCGGCGGAAAGTTATTTTAGAGACCGATCAAACTTCAGCCGAATTTCTACAGGGCTACGCTACACTAGATTTGAGCAACGTTCTCCATACATAACACTACATTGAAGTTCCAGCAATATGGTGAGGTCTGTTACGACGTCAGTGTATTGCAACTACAGAACTAAACAATTAGTTGTTCCCCGTACCTGAAATGTTGATTCTGGATGTATCGCAGCATCATCAAAGACGTTCGGTCCGTGACACAATATACTCCTTTCCATAATATACGTTTATTTTGACTAAGCGACTAAACACAGATTGTGACTTTTGCACTTTACTCATAGTAGCGTTGTCTCATTCAAAAAATGTAAATTTTGGTGCCGGGCACTTCGTCGCATCACCGTTTACTGTGTCATCGCCTTTTTGGACTGGCAACAAATAAAACCCTTAGAAGGGTCCCTAGAAGAACTTAGCCATTTTTATCGATCCATGTTGAATTTAGAAAGTATTCATCTGTTTTTCGCTCCCACACCAGACCTAGGGTTGCTGTTATTGTCCTTAATGCCTTTTGCAAGAGTGATGTTTCTTTTGGTATAAGCGCGGTTTAACTACCTGTCGTAGTTGTCTAAAGAAATTATTTAGTCTGTTTTATTTTATTTAAGTTTAGAATACATTAATATAATTATCTTTTTCCATCACAGGGAAATATAGCAGTGAATCGGCACAAGTGAAAGCTAGTTCAGCATGTTAGTTGTTCTAAAAAATTTCAAAGCATATTTTTACAAACCGTGTAGCGGGGAATCGTTTTCGAAGAAAATTAATTATAGTTAAACAGATTATCTTACTTGAGGAAGCAAGGAAATTAACCACCCTTGGAATTTAATACTAGAATGAAGCTCGAGCCTTTTTGTAGTTCAAATATGTTTAATCATAGGGTGATAATGTTAGATGTTTTGAGTAAAAATACGCACTTTTCTAATTAATTGCGTACGAAATATAAAATCTTTACAAATTATAGCATAACCACTCTATAACCTATGAAATTTATTTCTTATTATGGCCTGATCACAAGAAAATGTCGTTTGAGATATCAAACGGTTAATACGTACCTCTACAGGTAGGGCAGCAGGCTTTAGCAGTAACCATTTGTCTGGAAAAGGGGCATGCCATGACGGGGCAAGCTTCCCGTTGGCAAGTTATGCTGCCTTCCTGAAATACATACAAAGATGATACCGGTATTATTCGAAAGGTAGCCCCGTCTAGTATATTTTAACAAAGATATTTCGTCATAGCACGTTCAAGTGGGCTTCTTGCTGCATCTAAATTTGAATGTCAAGTGCAGTTCAAGGTTATTCCCATATAGTGTCACCATTAAAATCGCATCTACTGTGACGAGGTCTACCTTTAAGCAAATAAAAAGCGGTCTAATCTGCCGAGAATCTCCTGCGCAGAGCTGTGGCCGTTCGCTGCTCGCTCTGAACCAAACACGTATGGTGCTTCTAAATTCTTACTACAACGCCTTTCTGGGTACGCTGAATTGGCTGCTTCACTTTCAGGAGTCTTGTATCAAAATTGTCGACTTTTATACAAACGTACATACTCTTGCAATGATATGTAAGCATCCTTGACTCTACAATGGCCGCCTGACTTAATGTATGCAGAACTGTTAAACCGAGCATAATTTGAGAATAAAAAGAAACATTCAAAATATAATCTACTAACTACTAAAAGTCTTGGATATCGGGTTCTGTCCGACCTAAATCAACTCCTTAGGCCTTAATGATTTTTTGATGGGCTCTATAATATCGCCCTGGAAAGAGCAGTGTGGTAGGCGAGGTCGACTGGACAGATACTTTTGTCCCTAGAAGACAGAGTTTGTTTTGCCCATACGAAATAATATAAATTAATCAGCGACAAAGCGAGCACGGGGCAAAGCCCGCACATCCGCACTGTCTACTTTATTAACTACTAGAGATCGGGGTCGAATCGAAAACGACCTTTTAAACTAATTGGATTAAGCTGATTTTATGTGCATCGCTAGGAATTCACTCTGGGAGTATCTGCGAGAAAGAGAGAAACGATTGGCCAAATGCATTTGATAGAAAAATTTTCCCACAAAGCTTAATGATAGCTTGGTTGGTTGTAAGCGGACAGTGAAAACTTTCCTTCATCTTTCACGTTAAAAACAACACCGCACCAGCATTCAGAAGCACCAAGGCTGTACTACTATGCTATTAAATGTACAATTTTATAATTCTGTGAAAATTGTGTTGCATAAATAAGTGTGCTCAACTTGTGCTGCGTGAAGAACTGTGCGTAAACTATATTGTGAAAGAAGCTATTAGATTATACGCGAGCGTTGTCGTTACACTCAAAAGCCTACCTGCCTGCGTCGCATTGCCGAGGCGTCGCTGATCGAAAGCCGCCGCTCTTAGGAACCAGGCCACGAAGGGAGCATGGAGAAGCACAGCAAACGTCCGAGCCTTTTCCCATTGTCTGTCCGGGCACTTTCCGAGCCACGGGTCTACCGCAACCGCCCGATGGTCTGGACCGCCCCGATAGATATGTCCCACCTCCGAGTCCGACCTACAAGGGCAGCCGGATACCAACTCGAGGTCTACTGAGGTCCCACCCATGTACGAGACACAGAGCCTTCTGATGCGCCCGTCAATAACCCCCATTTACACAACCAAGCCCTACTTAGCCACATACCTATTAAGATTCTTATGACGTCCTCAGGCCTGGATCGACGAAGTACGAACGAAACCAGCTTCCTGCCGGCGAGTGTCAGCCTAATAAACAGGGTGTGCCATACATGTAAAGCCCTATTGCTCAGAGTAAGAAATAATTTTTACCGCATGGAATGCAAATTAATGAGTAACACTAATTTGCTCACGGAACTCAATGCGCCATGCAGAATCAGCATGTCTGCTGTCAAGGCGTTTGGTGCAACTTGCAGACAATACACTGTTTCAAATGGCGAAAGCGGGTCCTGAGGATACTTACAATGCTGTCCTAGTCATGTAACAGATCCTCTATCACTACATAGATTCACCAATGTCAGCACATGTCGATTTCTTAAAAGATATTTTCTAATGACTTTGAAGAGGCCATCGGATGCCGGCTACAGATTATGAATCGTTTCAAATTTTACGCTATCATTAAAATCCTACTTGTTGTGCTTCGACGCGCGAATGCCCTGTATACTTCACTTCAACGCAATAAAGGAACACATCTGCGACGTGCGCGAAACTAGTATTACTCCGGAATATGGACCACTAGGAACATGCAGCCGCACCTACGCGTACAGCATAATATGTCTGGCCGGTGCATTTAACTATCTGCAGCATCCCGCCGAAGATTGAGTCAGAAAACCTGCATTGTATTTAATGCAGTCAATAGTTTTTCCAGGCAACGGTCTCTCACTAAACGAACCGATAATGGTAATAACCTAGTTCTCTTGAGAAAGCGTACGTTTCAATATTTAAAGCCAGCCCGCGACACATGGCGAAACATAGGCAAGATGCCATGATGTACATTAGTTCGTTCAGTTATACTTCATTGCTTACAATCATGATGTCTAACGCGCACTGATCAGATATACACTGAGCAGTATATATTATTGCCAGCTCCCCGAGAGTCAAAGACTCGAGGATCGGCCAGACTTTATCGGGCGAGTGTTTCGGTTTAGATAAGCTCTTCATACGCCATTCCATGCTGTAACCTGTGTGTTACTGTTTATCTAGTAATTAAAGAATATCCGAAAAAGAGAGATCCCGCATATCTATGCTTATTTTGACTTGATCAGCAAACGAGAGTTCCAACCACGCCAAGCTTGTGATGCAAATCCCGTATCCAATGTAGAACTCAAAACTTTACAGGTTAATATTAAGGTATAGAGTAGCCGTTGTCAACTCCAGGTTCGACTTTGTTTCGCAATGAGCATACGCAAAGCACAAAGCAAAATTCGAAATAAGGTACTTATTTTTCTCAAAGAACGATGGCTTCTACCTTACTCTTATCTGTGTTGTGAGTCCAGAAATAATATCTCCAAAAATGCACCGCCACGAGAGATACTGTGATGTGCAATCTCTTGTACTGAGCGATTTTACGAACATGATTGACAGGCCATTAGGTTTCCGTTACTGTTTTCAAAATCGACCTGCGGGGCACCTCTCCCACATTACTGCATTTTTCTTACTCAGGTACGTAGATCACTGGGATGCTTTTGACGGGTAACCACTCAAGCGTGGAGGCTGAAGAACTTACTGCACCTATAATTCCTTCAGCGTTCTTCACATATTATGTCTCCTGCCTCATGGGGAAGGACGAAGCCAGCCAGGTCTTTTACGACCAGTTTTTATTGTATCTTCATTTAATTCAACTGTTTAAATATTTTACCTGATCGTAGAAAAAATTAGATTTTTTTTCCACAAATCTTAATGTCAATTTATAATGAATCGTAAACAAACAACAAAAACGTCTTTTCCATTTCCCACGTTTGAAAACAGTGCCTCGAGATATTTCCAATGCGTGAACAAATTTGCTCAGCTAGTGTTGCTAAATTGTGAATGAATTGAAGTTACCTCTATTATGAATGTAATTAGCCTTTCACCTCTACACAAGGATAATAAAATGTATTTAATAGAGGCAGGGGTAGTCCGCGGATAGCAGTTTTTGCTGAAACTTGTGTGTTTATTCGTCAGTTCAAAAAAAAACCTGTAGTGCGGTTGGATTGGGCTGATTTTTGGTAGGCCGCTAGAACTGTATCCCAGGAAGAGTTGCGCTTAAGATAGAACTGATCGTGTGTTAGTCTTATCTTACGAAGAATTGGTTTTCTCATACAAATAGGTGTAGCACTGTACTTACGGGGGAAAATCTTAATTTTCCGTACTTTTGGGAGGCAGTCTTAAAATTGTCATTTTTGCCAAAATTGCCTACAACTGAAAAAGCACAGCTTGTATCATTTAAGTGTACCAATATTTTATCGGACGCAGTTCTTTCCTATAAAGGTGTAATACTAATTTGATCAATTTGCAAAATGGTTGATGTTATGTAAACTATCTGGATACATGACTCAATCTCCCATTAGATGAATATTTTTCCCAGCCGTAATCCCTGTCTCCCATAGAACATAATAATAATTCGGCCAAAATGAGTTTTGGCACTTTGTCCAATATCCATTCGAAATTTGTAAAAATGTTGTATTGGAAAATTGTGTTTTTTCAGCCTCATAAAATAGGTGCAAAATGTCGAATTAAAGTTTGGGAATCGGATAACTTGAAATAAGGAAATGATTTAAATACAATGTATGAAGATTGCGACAACGTTCCAATGAGAGAGCGGAAATAATAGCTTAAAGAATATGACGTCTGACTTAGATAAGGTCCTAGACTTGCGCCGCGTGCACGGCTGAAGGCTGATTTGGCGGTACAAGTTGAAAAGAATTCTGCTGGAACCTACTGATCATAAGGGCCAATCATGGCTGGAATAGGATAACTGCGCTACGGCAACCTGGTCACTGACATAAAATAAAAACTGATTAAATTAAGGAAATTTGATTACCGCATCTGGATAGTTGCAATAGAATATCAGAATTAATATAGCAGGGTCTCGGATGCCTGTCAGTATCTACAATTGAGTTATATTTTATGTAAGGGTAGCGAGTTAGGTGGAACGAAATAACTGTCGGTTTATGTTAAATTAGGCTGAATGTAACATCAAGTTAGTTTAATCAACGGCAAAATCAACAGGCGCGAAGCAGAGCCTCTGAGTCCGTTTATGTAGCATGGTGATGGAGGAATGCGTCATGGTCCAGTTACGCGCGCCACATATGAGGCCTTTCAGAAATTTAAAACATCTGGCATCATTGACGGTTTTCTTTTTGAGCAGTAATTTAAATACTCTTATTATCCATTGCGATTACATGCAGCTTACGGCAAAATTAATTCGGTACTTCTATCAAAGTCGCTCTCTTTTTTGTTCGACGCTATGTCTTGGCCTGATCCTTTCCTGGTGGGCGACTCGTGTCTCGTATATAGCAACGGTGTCTTCCAGATGTTTTTTTACCGGTTATAATTGCGCGAATTACAGAAAGCTACTCGTGTTTCCGTATGTTGTAATCTCAATTTGTAAGCATCCTGTTTTTTTTTCATTTACAGCGTTTTTTTTATATTTTTGTAACAATTACTAGGGAAAACTTTACTTAT